TGGAAATAACTCAGTGAATCTAGTTTTATGCACATAACAGTGAAAATATTCCAGTGCATAAAAATGTATGCAAAGAACGACTTAGAAAAGAACAGATTAACTAACTGGTGCTGCTATGGGTAAATTTGTAGGCCCAATTATCACAATTGTAAGCTCAACTGAAAACAGTGGATAAAAGTTCACAAAATGTCACACTACTGTCTAACAACGAACGTTGATGGGGGAAAAAGTGTAAAAGAGAAACAAAAAACTGAACTAGTCCAAACAAAAATAGCCCACTGAAATAGCTAAAGGACTGCACTAAGGTCAGAATGGTAACCACGAAAAGTGTGGGACTGAAAATTAATGAAGTAAAATTGGTGCATCAAATATTAGATCTAATTGGTGACCAATAGAATGAGGGGATGGGCTCTTCTGCCCATCACTCCCTTTTGTAGGTCTTAGAAGATAAGACTTCGGAGGAATCAAAATCAAGAAAGAAAGAAACGCAACTCTGGCTAACTACAACATGGGAGAACAGGAATGAACGAGCTGCACCGAATGGCTCCCGCCTCCACTGTCTCCTGGGGCTCTGAGATCCATTGTTACATTGTTGAGCCTTTGTCCACATTAGCCTGGGAAATGTCCGATCCAGACCTGGCCAGAGAGAGGGACTCAGAGGTCATTGTCCTGTCACTGGCTCTGGCTGAATCCCAAATACAACTGTTGGGGTGCGTAGCCCCAAAGTCCAATTTGCGACGGGGCGAGGTTCCCCCCCCCTTTCCCGTACGTCGGGGTCTCCGACAGTAGATATCCGTAGTTTCAAGCGTAATGAGCTAGCCTCCGCAGCTACCGCGCCCTCAGCACTCGGGTGTGGTCTCCCAACAGCGGGAGGGAGTGGGGGGCCCGGGCCCGCCCTCACTCATGGGCCCCAGCCCAGGTCCCTAAGAGCAGGTCCCACTGGACAAACCCTCCGGCTGGCCGGGCCCGGCTCCAGCCTCTGCCCTGGGCTTCTTCCTACTCCCATCACTCCATCTCTTTTCCTTTTCTTCTCCTCCCCCCTCTAGGTCTTTCCTTTTTCCTTTTAAACTACCCGCCTCCCCCCTACGTCACTGCCGCCCTGTTCCCTCGTGTCCTGACCCTTCCTTCCTCTCCCGGCGCACAGCTGACGTCATCTTGCTGATGTCAGCACGCCAGGCGGCGTGGCTGCCCCTGCGCCCGGTGGCGGACTGCCCAGCGGCGGCCGTGCAAGCCGCACAGACCCGGCGCACTATCCCAGAGGCGCTAAGAAGCGCGAGCGCCACAGCCGGCTCAGTGCAGGGCGTGTTCGCCTCTGAGGGGCAGAGGCGTCCCGCCCCGTCACAACAACTTTGTCTCTTCTTCCTCCCTCATCCTGTCCCCCTACACTCTGTGTGTTCTTTTCCTTCCCCGCTTTGTTTTTCTCCCCTATTCCTCCCCTTTTGCCTTTTGTATCGTTAGCACCACTGTGTGAAACCTGTAACCAGAAAAAGGCAGGCAGATGCAGGCCCTGAGCAGCCTGATAGTGGGAAAAGTTTGCTAGGTCTTGGAACTCCGGTCATGGCTGATAGGGCCATGTGAGTTTCTCCGGCAGTGAGGTTGCTGTGAGTGAGAATCAATGCCAGAGACAGAAGTGTTTTCTATCTTTGTCGTTCGTCTCCTTCCCCTTTTGTGGTTTTTGTGTGTGTGTGTCTTGTTCTGTCTTTAGGAAATGGGATCAGCTTTTACCAGTAGCAGTGACACCAACTCTAGCCCTTCTCAACTCACTTCCTGGTTTTTTTTCTCCAAGGAAGGCAGTTTTTACCATCTTTAGTATGGAACTGAAGCATCCCCACTCTTTGGCCTCACAGTCAGTCTCAAAGAGACAATGAAGGTCTTCTTCCAACCAGCATCTGAAAAGATAACGAGCCTTGTGGATAAGGGAGAAGCGGTGGATGTCATATACCTAGACTTTAGTAAGGCATTTGATACGGTCTCGCATGATATTCTTATTCTTATTGATAAACTAGGCAAATATAACTTAGATAGGGCCACGATAAGGTGGGTGCATAATTGGCTGGATAACCGTAGTCAGAGAGTTGTTGTTAACGGTTCTAAATCCTGCTGGAAAGGGATAACAAGTGGAGTTCCTCAAGGGTCTGTTTTGGGACCCGTACTATTCAATATCTTCATCAATGATGTAGATATTGGGATAGAGAGTACTCTTATTAAGTTTGCAGATGATACCAAACTGGGTGGGGTTGCAACTTCTTTGGAGGATAGGGACATAATTCAAAATGACCTTAGCAAGTTAGAGAAATGGTCAGAGGTAAACAGGATGAGGTTTAATAAGGAGAAATGCAGAGTGCTCCACTTAGGAAGGAACAATCAGTTCCATACATACAAGATGGGAAGCGACTGTCTAGGAAGGAGCATGGCGGAAAGGGATCTAGGGGTCATAGTGGACCACAAGTTGAATATGAGTCAACAGTGTGATGCTGTTGCAAAAAAAGCAAATATGATTCTAGGTTGTATCAACAGGTGTGTTGTAAGCAAAACTCGTGAAGTCATTCTGCCGCTCTATTCTGCACTAGTTAGGCCTCAGCTGGAGTACTGTGTCCAGTTCTGGGCGCCACATTTCAAGAAAGATGTGGAGAAATTGGAAAGGGTACAGAGAAGAGCGACAAGAATGATTAAAGGTTTAGAGAACATGACCTATGAAGCCAGGCTTCATGAACTGGGCTTGTTTAGTTTGGAAAAAAGAAGATTAAGGGGGGACATGATAGCGGTTTTCAAATATCTAAAAGGGTGTCACAAGGAGGAAGGCGAAAATTTGTTCCTCTTGGTTTCTGAGGACAGGACAAGGAGTAATGGGCTTAAAGTGCAGCAGGGGAGGTTTAGATTGGACATTAGGAAAAAATTCCTAACTGTCAGGGTGGTCAAATATTGGAATAAATTGCCAAGGGAGGTGGTGGAATCTCCCTCTCTGGAGATATTTAAGAACAGGTTAGATAGACATCTGTCAGGGATGGTGTAGACGGAGCTTGGTCCTGCCTTGAGGGCGGGGGGCTGGACTCGATGACCTCTCGAGGTCCCTTCCAGTCCTATTATTCTATGATTCTATGATTCTATGATCTTATTCCAGTGCCGCAGTGCCAGCCGACTTCATCCAAGACAGACAGCTGGCACATGTGGATCAGTTCAAGTATTTGGGCAGCACCATGTTGAGTGATGATTCCTTCGATGAGGAAATTTCCTCAAGAATTAGTTAAGCCAGCCAGTCAACTTTGAATGAAAATCCTTAACCAGTGCACCATTCGTCACTTCATAAGAGTGAACATCTCTAGTGTAGTGGTTCTAACATCTCTCCTGTATGGATCTGAGACATTGAGTGTTTAAAGACATCACATTAAGCAGCTTGTGCAATTTCCGCTCAATAATGACCATTCACTGGCAGGGCAGAGTGACCCATATTAAGATCCCCGAGAGAGCAAACGGCCAGCACTAAGGTAATGCTACTCAGAGCACAGCATAGGTGACTCAGACACATCAGTAGAATGGAAGACCACTGTCTCCCCAAACAGATCTGATATGGCAGGGGTGGGCAATAACATGGTGTTAGTTTGCCAGGGTCGGTCCCCGCGGGGCAGCCACTGTTATATTTACCTGCACAGCTGCAGGAACTGGCGACTGCCACGGATCACCATTCCCAGCCAGTGGGAGTGGCGGGAAGCAGTGTCTCAGTTCCCATTGGCTGGGAACAGGCCAATGGGAGCTGTGATCACTGGTACCAGCAGCTGTGCAGGTAAATTGAGTGGTGAGGGTCTGCCAGGAGCTAGCCCTGACGGACCAGATCCAGCGCGGGGTTCTGAGTCAGGACAAGAGTAAGACGTGTCGTCCATATGAGCTCTTCAGAGAGAACCTGAAGAGCAATGTCCATGGCGCTGGCATCAGATGCAAAGAACTCTGGGAAATGGCTCTGAACAGGACTCACTGATGGTTTCCAGAAGATCAGCATGGCCTCGCTTCGAGAGGGATCATGTGAAAGGTGCCATAGAGCCCTGTGCCCTCAGTGTGGCCCAGTCTGTGCATCGGGATTCAGACTTCGCAGACATATGCATAGCCATAGCGGGGGCGGGCCGTGAGCGAGGGGGCCAGAGTTGTGGAGGAGGGGACGGGGCATAGCCCAAGGCTTCATCCCCAGGCAGAGCCTGAAACAATGAGCAGCGCTTGGGCTTCAGCCACAGGCATTGGGCTCAGGCTTGGGGTTTGGCTCTGGGTCCCAGCAAGTCTAAAGCCAGGCCTGGCAACTGCATGAAAATGGAGCCCCAAGTTTCTTTGGGGTCTCAAGCCACAGTCTGAGAAGCACTGACCTAAATGAACACGACAGGACGAGGGATCTGTGGCTTTGAACAGCGTCTGGGGGTGTTGATTGTCGTGCTCTGGTTTGGCCTTTTGAGGAGGTGGCACCCATGCACCAGTTCTCACAGTAGAGAGCTTGGACTTCGTCACAAAAACCAGAGTGACCCTGCGCACGTTGTGTTCAGTGTCCTAAGGCCACAGGCAACAGGGCCTGTTTCTTCCCTCGGCCCCTTTTGCTGCAATGGCTGCAGTAAGGATCCCCCATCCTGCAGCACTCCAGCCAACCCATAACTGCACTTCACCCTCCCATTTCCAGCCCTGGACTGCACATCTTCCCCCCCAAATGTGGGCGTTTGGGTCTAGAAACTGATGCTGGGTTTGAGTCAGCTCCTAGCTCAGCTTCCTCCTGTCGTGGCTGGGAAAGGAGCCCCTGGGGAGCACAGGATATGCAGTGTCCCGCAGAACCGGGGTGAGGGGATATGATTGAACTGAAAGGGAAAGTGATGCAAACAACCAGGAGGTACCCTTGGGGTGAAGGAATCGGTGTGAGGCAATGCTGCCAAACTGCCCAGTGGTCAGCTGGAGGGAGCAGAGGAGAGAGGCACTTCATGACGTTTCTCAGACATTCCTCTTCTCTTTTCTGGGGGGGGTGGGTGCTCCAGAATGCCCCCTGACAATGGCCACCCAGCTGGAGCACAGTGCCGAAGTGATCAAAGTGTTGAAGAATGGAGGAGCACATCTGGATTTCAGGACTCGGGAGGGAATGACAGCTCTTCATAAGGCCATCCGGTGCCGGAACCACATTGCCCTGATGGTGAGTCCTTGGGAAGGCAAGATGTGCGGGCAGGGCCACCTGGCCCTGGTGGGGACGGACTGGGAAGGGGAGATCTGGGGCACTTGTGTCCCTTCCCCTTCCCTATGACTCTCAAGCTCCTGCTACTTTCTTACATTACCCTGTGCTCCTGTCACCCCTCTCCCTCCCTTGTGTATGCGCTGGCTAGAACCTAAGCTCTCTGCAGCCAGACTTTGTCTTCAGGCTTCTCTGGGACACACAATGCACAGCTGTTTAGAATGAATCGTAAGCTGTCTAGAAGAGCTCTAGAGCAGAGCGAGTCCTGCACTCTGCTAGGGCTAGAGATATCCCTCCCCTGTGCCACCCCTTGTCTTGATCTTTGTAACATTCAGAGAAATCTCCAGAGACTCTTGCGCTCTTCCTGCAGACACTCTTAGACCTGGGTGCCTCCCCGGATTACAAGGACAGCCGAGGATTAACTCCTTTGTACCACAGCGCCATGGTTGGAGGGGACCCTTACTGCTGTGAGCTTCTGCTTCATGACTATGCCAAGGTGGGCTGTGTAGATGAGAATGGCTGGCAAGAAATCCACCAGGTGAGTCTAAAGAATGTCATGATGGAACCCGCTTAGATAAGAGCCTCATAGTTTATGGTTGTCTATGTGAACGTATTCTTAAAATCATCTGTGGTTTAGGCATGCCCAGGGTAAATGCTTTTCTGGGGTCTTCCCCAAATGAGAGTTTTCCCCATATCCAGTCATTTCACTCTGAGGGCAGCCAGGACACCTATGACTAGCATATCAAACAAGGAAGTTTTTACTGCATTAGTCAATACAGAGATGCCTTCATCCTATGGTCTTCATTGCAGCTCTTTGCAGTTATCCCTTGTGACTCTGAGTCCGGAATTACTGTATAGACGAGAGTTAAACTACTTAGCAACCTAGTGATTCCAGCTTCCTGTGGTCAGCTTCCCCTGCTGTATCTTTGGGCTTGTCTTTACTAGGAAATTGCACTGAATTAGAACATGGAGTCCTGTAACTAACATGATGTTGATAATGTCTTTGCAGTCAGCATAAATGGGTTTTACCCAGGAGCAGCTGACACAAAACTGAACACTCTGGTTACAAAGTTGTGGTCAGTTTTGTGTTGGTTAACAGGACTCGTCAAGGACATGTACGTTCTCTGTACAATTCAATATTGACTAATTACTTCTCATGTCTGGTAAGGAAGGCACAAGAAGTCATTCTTCCATTCTATTGCTTGCTGATTAGGTCTCAGCTGGAATACAGTGTCCAGTTCTGGGTGCCATATTTCAGAAAAAATGTGGATAAATTGGACAAAGCTCAGAGAAGAGCAACAACAAAATTGGTTAAATGTCCAGAAAACATGACTTCTGAGGGAAAATCAAAAGGCCTATTTATACATTAGATGATTGAGAGGAGTCTTTGTAACAGAGGATAGAAGAAGTAGTGGGTGTAAATTGTAGCATTGTTGCTTTAGGTTGGACATTCTGAATAAATTGCCTAGTGAGGTTATGGAATCTCTGTCACTGGAAGTTTTTAAGAGCAGGTTAGACAGACAGCGAGGAGAGATGGTCTGGACAGTGCTTGGTCCTGCCATTTGCGCAGGGGACTGGGCTAGGTGACCTCTCAAGATTCTTTCCAGTCATACAGTTCTGTGACTGCGTGATGTAATTTTCTAGTGAAGATAAACCCACAAGTGGATGGGTCTCACTTTCACTGCAGCATGAGGGCAGCTGTTAAAGACTGAAAGGGTTTTGAGACCAGGATAGCTATGACTGGCCTGGCCTGTTCTGTATCCTGTCTCGTGGCTGTACCTTTCAATTCTGTGTGAATAGGTTCCCAGACAGCGTGTTTTTCCTTAACCGTCTTTGTCTTTTTTCCTGTTTCGTTGTTTCTCTTTCTGAGTAGGCATGTCGCTATGGCCATGTGCAGCACCTGGAGCATCTTCTCTTCTATGGAGCTGACATGACTTCCCAGAATGCCTCAGGAAACACGGCGCTCCACATCTGTGCTCTCTATAATCAGGTGAGAAGAGAGGCATCAGAACATGGAACACAGGGCCCCCAGTCGGCAAGGCAGGGGGCATGTAGACCAACAGGGAGGAGACATGGGGATCGAGAATATACACACTTGGCTATATCCTCTTTTTCATACTCCTAAATCTAGAGCTGGAAAAGGACCCTGGGGTCCAAGTTAGTTCTCTGTCCTTGGCCAATGCAGGATTGATCCATTTGTGCACATATTTATTATTTATTTAAAATATTTTTACCCCGTCTCTCTGTTTAAAATATTTGACGTGGCTTACAAAAGTTTAAAAACACAATAAATGTATTTTATTCTTTTATATATAAGACGCCAAAGCAGGGACATAAACCCCCCCCCCCACACACACACACACACATACACACCAATAAAAGCATGGGTAAAAAGAGTGGCTTTGGCCCAAGCACATGTCCCTGGGGAGGGAGTTCCATAGCTTGGGGGCAAATGCTGAGAAGCTCTGCTCCGAGTAGATGTCAGCCGTACCTCCATAAGAGCCTCCCCAGCCGACCTCAATCCCGGCTGGTTCATAGGGGAGGAGACGATCCTTCAGATACCCCGGTCCTGATCCATTTAGGGCTTTATAAGTCATAACCAAGACCTTGAATTGTGCCCGGAGACGTACCAGAAACCACTGCAGCTGCTGGAGCACCAGCATAATGTGCTCCGTGTAACGAGTGTTCGTTAGAACTCGAGCAGCCGCATTCTGGACCAGTTGAAGCTTCTGGACCCTTGCAAGGCAGCCCCATGTAGAGTGCATTGCAGTAATCCAGTCGGGGTGTAACGAGCATGAGTCATGCTTGTTCAGGAAGGGTCGCAGATGGCGGAGTACCAGAAACCACTGCAGCTGCTGGAGCACCAGCATAATGTGCTCCGTGTAACGAGTGTTCGTTAGAACTCGAGCAGCCGCATTCTGGACCAGTTGAAGCTTCTGGACCCTTGCAAGGCAGCCCCATGTAGAGTGCATTGCAGTAATCCAGTCGGGGTGTAACGAGCATGAGTCATGCTTGTTCAGGAAGGGTCGCAGATGGCGGATCAGCCGGAGCTGCCCAAAAGCACTCCTGGCCATTGAGGAAATCTGGTTCTCAAATGTTAAAAAAGGTCCAGGAGGACTCCCAAGCTGAGTACTTGTTCCTTCAGGGGGAGTGCGACCCCGCCCAGGACAGGTACCACGCCGCATTCCCAGACAGGTGGCTTCCTGATCCACAGGACCTTGCTCTTATCTGGATTCAGCTTCAGCTTATTCAACCTCATCTAGTCCATCAACGCATCCCGACACCAGTTCAGATCAGTCACCGTCACAGAGAAATAGAGCTGGGTGTTATCTGCATATTGACGGCACCGTCCTCTACATCTCCTCACGGCCTCTCCCAGCGGCTTCATGGAGATGTTAAGCAACAAAGGGCGGTGCTTCCCAACCTTTCTTATACCGTGGACCGGCAAACCCACTCACAAGCTTGTGGTGGACCAGTAACATTTTTATTTGCGTATTCATTGTGCAAATAATGAATATGCAAATAAAATGTTCCTGGTCTGCCAAAAGCCCCGGCCCCCAAAGCCGCCATGAAAAGCCAGCTTCACCTCCATCATCCCCCCTCCCCTTAAGGCTTAGAGCCCCCCCCCCACCAAACCCCTCCAGTGCTAGCCTCCTGTTTCCAGAGCCCCACTGCATCCATCCCCCCCAACACCCCCCATGCCAGCCCCCAGTCCCCAAAATTAGCCCCACTCCATACCCCCCAGTGCCAGCCCTGCCCTCATAGCCCCCCCACTTCTAGCCCCGCCTCCAGAGCCCCCTAGTGCCAGCTCCCCACTCAGATACCACAGTGTCAGCCCATCCCCCTTAAGACAACCCACAATTCAGCAGCGTGAGGACTGGGCAGAGAGAGCCAGGAGCGGCTGCTTGGAGTGGCCCATGTGGGGACTTGGGTGGAAAGTGGCTCGGTGTTTGTCCAGCTGCTGCCCCTGGCAGCGGCGCTGCGTGGGAGAATCGCGCCACCAGACCCTGAGCTGAACCTGCTGGCCAGGAGCGGCATTCACCCCTGCATGGTGCAGTCTGGCAGGGTGCATGTGGGGCTGGCAATGCGGCTCCAGCCTCCTCCTCGGTGCTGGAGGTTCGTCCTGCGGCAGCTCTCCCTGCACACAGGCCTCGGGCTGCCTGCACACCACTCTGTCCTGCCTGCCGACGTGGCCCCTTCATCTCACTTCCCCGCAGCTCTGGCCCCAAGGCTGCTGGAGCGGCTGCCACACGACATGCGGCTCTGTCTCTGACTGGGACCATTGGAGCAGCCGCTGCCCACCACGTGGCCCGCAGCTCCAGCCCTGGGGAAGGGCTGAAGCTAGGGCCAAGGCCGCATGGTGGCTGCCCTGCTGCTCCTGGCACAGGGCAGTCGTCTGCCATGTGGCCGCACCTCAGAGCAGCTAAGCAGCCGGGTGGGCCTCAAATTCTTTGTGGTCGCACCTTAGAGGGATACTGCTGTGCTCCCCAGTGAAGCCCAACTGGGGGCGTGGCCTGGCAGTATGCCGCAGCCCGGCAGGCAGGGGTTCGCGGCCTGGCACCGTCTGCGGCCTGACGGTTGGGAACTGCTGGCCTAGGGGACAAGATGGAACCTTGTGGGACCCGAGAGCACAATTGCCACAGGCTTGTGCAGATAGATCTCCCAGTCCTTCCCAGGGGGAGATGATTCCGCTGTCTGAAACATACAGTTGCCAGGGGTTCTGTCCGACTTCTGCCTTTATTGCTCCCAGTTGAACTCCTGATTTGCCGAACCAATGGTGAGAGAACGGCCTCCATCAGAAAGCAGGAAGGGATAGTTCCTCTCGAAATAGCTCTGGTGCCAGCACATCTGGCATATTTTATTCAGTTTGCAGGCCCTCAATCCCAGAAAGATCTGCCAAGCTAGAGAAGAGCAAGGGAACTGCTCGGGACGCTGGCGGGACCGTATTCCCTGGGGAGATGACAGAGTTTCAGTCTTTTAGTTTGTCAAAAAGCTGTGAGGAAATACAAATCTGCCAGGACCCAGAGTGTGTAAATACCAGGGAAGGAAGGTTGAGGAGTGGGAGAAGCTGGGAGTAAAAGGCTGAAACTAAGAAAAGGTAAATTAAGGGTGAATGGCATGAAAAAGCTCCTGCCAGTGAGACCTGTGGGCATGTAGGAGAGTCCCCAAAGGAAGGCGGAGGAGTCAAGCAATGCAGGGAACCGCCCTGCAATATGGGGTCTTGCAGGGACCAGTCAGAAGCAGGGTGTTTCCGTTGCTCATTCCTGTCGGCACCCGAAAGGAGGAGGTTTGGCAGCTGTTTCCTGCCCTTCAGCACTGGGGCATATTCCTGGGTCTGCCCCTCGTCGTTGGCAGGTTGAGTGCATGGCTGGAGGGAGCTAGGCACGAGTTACCGTCCTTACACAGCAGCTTCTTTCAGACATTCAGAGCCTGGGAGACGAGCCTGATGTCCTCTGAGCAATCTCAGTGGCTCCCACGGAGGCTCTGGGGCACATTGTGGGGAAATATGCACATTGGGACACAGGGCCCCTGCCAGAAGGAGGCAGTGTTTATATTGGCCTGTCCCCCCTGCACCCCCAGGAGGAATGACTTTTGGGGG